TTCCCTCAAAGTGGAGAGGGTGCATTGTGGGGGTCCTCAGATGCCTGCGAGGTGGTGCTGTTTGTACAGTCACCATTGAGTTTTTCTTAGGTGGGACAAGGTATAAACAGAGACCCTCCCTGTTGGGAAATAATTGGCCCCAGAAAACCAAAGACCGAATAGCAGGTTAGAAAGCATCAAAGCTCAATGGGGTCATGCTGCACCCCCAACCCCCACTCCCATCCCAGCAGCCCAGGTAGAAATTTCCACAGAACACATGCAAGAACTGTAAAAAGGGTTCTAAAAGAGCAAGCTCAATGCATCATGGGGATTGTTTTTGCCTTTTCTTTTCTTTTTTTCTTGTGTCTCCATGTTCCCATATGATGCTACCATGAGGATCCAGCTGCACTTTGGAAGTGCAGTGTGCCAAATTTTATTAGGCAAGGCCCATGGCATTGGTCTCCTGGGACAGAGGCAAGGGTATGGGTGTTAGGGGTGCTGCGGTGGGAAGCACTCATCTTTCTTGCTGCCAGCCTAGAGGGTCTGCTCCACTTGGAAATGTTGAATCCAGTCCACTTTGGAGGAGCAGGGTTCACCATTCCCTTTCTCTCTAGCCTTGCCTGGAGTGGGCCAGGGAAGTTGAATTCGGGTGATCAACCCCTTTCTTTGGCTGTGCCTTGATATGAGACACCCCCTACCAGGTTTCTCTCTCTGGGAAGGACAGAGGGCTGTGATGAGGGATAGCCAAGTGTGTTCTGGGCTTCGAGCAGAACCCAGCCAGTGAGAAAGCAGCCTTCTTTGTGAGTGTGAAGGGAGGACACAGGGTCGTGGAGCCTGCGGGGTCGGGGTTGGGGCTGAGGCTGTTTGATGTGCCTGGGTGGGGTGTGGGGATTCTGGCATGCATAAAGAGGCCATAGAATTGCTGTCTGACAGCGGTGGGGCGGGGCCTGTCCCCAGACTGCTGCTTGTGGCCTCTGTCAGCAAAGGGTATCTGCTCCCCCTGCTCCACCTCAGCCTTGTGGGGTAGCAGGAGCCCCTTTGAAAGCCCTCAAAGGCCCCTTTATGTGGCTTCTGATCCTCCCTTCCCTTACTGAGCGATGAAGTGCGGCTCTCACTTGGGTCACTTTCCTGTGCTGGCCTCTACTCTGTCTAAGGCTGTTTGTTCCATGACTCAGTTTCACTTCTCTAGGCTGCCTGCTGGGGGCATGGAGGCATTCTGGGCCAGTAGGATCTTTCTGGGTCCTTCATTGGGATTCTGGCTAAGGATATATCTTAGGTATGTTTGGGAGGAATACTTAAGTTTTCCATCCTTAAACATCCACCTCTGCTGTGTCCATTCATTCCTTTGCATACATATTTCCTAGGTCCCTAGTCTTGCTGGGGTGGGTGTCAAAGAGTTGCCTGCCCTGGGGCCTGGTGCTGCATCTTGAGTTCACAAAACTGTCTAAAGTCCAGGTTCACTGACACCCCAACCCTGCCTTTCAGGCTTTAACCATGATCGCCATAGGGTTGAGAAAGGATGGTTTCGTAGAGAGCTCCATGAAAGGTCCACATGGTTTCTTCTGTTTCTCTAGATGTCAGGCCATGAGGACCCATAGAGGTGGGAAGAGTTTGAAGCTTGAGAAGGACTTGGGCTTCTGCAGGCTGCTCAGACCTGTCCTTCCTCTCTCCTCCTCCTCCTGGCACCTCCTCTCCAGGTGAACAGTCTGAGGCTGGCCCTGCTCGTTGATCTTCTGTTTGCCAGACTAAGTGCTCCGGAAGTAGTAGGGGAAAGGACCTGAAAATGAGACTGGAAGGGAACAGGGAGAGTTAGTTCCTGTTGCCCTGCCTGAGTTCATTAACTCCAGGAGGATGAGGGAGTCCAGACTGGAAGGGGCAAACACCACAGTCTGTTCCTTTCTAGCTTTGATGAGCACACACTCTGGTGCTGCTGCCAGGATGGCACCGGGGTTCTGTCTCTGTATCAAGAGCAAAGAACCTGGTGGGTAATTCTGTCAGCTGGAGTCAAAGTGTGGGGCTTGGCAATAGGGTTGGCAGACCTGGAGCAGGGAGGCACTTGAGGAGGGTGGGGCATTGGGGATAAGAAAGTAGGGCTTTGGGGAGAATGCTCTTTGGGGATTGGAATTCCTGGCTATTTCTGGGCTCAGAAAAGTTGGGCTCTCAGGAGTGCCTGGACCTCCATGGCAGAGTAAGTATGAAAAGGAGGGCAGGCACAGCAACCTGGGACCTGCCTACCTTCTACCCTCCCCCCTCATTTCCATGAATTGTGTGTGCCTCTGGTCCGGACTTTACCAGGTAGAGAATCTCTATGGGGTGGAGAGAAGGACCCTAGGTCAGAAGCTGCCTGGGCCGTAGGAGGATGGGAAAATGCTTGTGTTTCTGTTTTCATGTGGCCTATGAGCTCCCCACTCCCACTCACAGAGGTTTGTAGAGGACTGAGGGAGGGAAGGCAGATGGAGTGACCTGACTAAAGGAGAAAGAAGCACTTGGAGAATGAGGGCAGGTTTATGGGTGAGGTTGGGTCTGGCAAAGTCTCTATTTGCTCAAGGAGGACCTGGTCCTTTAAACCCAGTTCAGGTGATAGCCCCAATCCCTCCCAGACTGAGGGTGGGGAGTGGCTAGAATGGCTACAAGTCTTTTGTCCCAGAACCTGCCACTCTAGGCTAGGAGGAAGCTTTCCCTCTGGATCACTAGTGGGCGGGAAGGGGCTGAGTTGAACCCAGAGTAACCCAGCTAAAACTAATGTCTATCCAGTACCTGCCTTTTCTTCACTACTGGGTCAGTATTTTATCTTCCTTTTTCTGCCACCTTTTTATAAGCCCCACCCCTTAACAAAGTATAGAGACTTTGGGAAGGGAGCTCTCAGGTGACCAGATTCATTTCAAGTCCTGTATTTCCTGATCTTTCAGCAGCAGAGCCTCAGAGGCCAATATGAATGGACAGGCTTTACTCAGGTCGATGGCGTCTGGTCCTTCTGAGGCAGAGCTTAGCACCTACTACATGCTTTGTGGCACACAGGAAAAGATAAAAGTAAAAAAGATAAAAGTGCCTTTTATCATGAGCTGGTGAAGCTAGCAAAGGGAATATCTGGAGGGAGCTGCAGCCTCCTCAGCCCTCCCAATCACAAGTAGCCACTCTTCATTTATGGGGTTGATTGGTGAGGAGCAGAAAGGTGTCCTGTGAGGTGTAGTGGCAAGTTTTGTCTCCTGCTTCTCTTTTGCAATTAATGTGGGTTGGCAGGCTCCTAGCTTTTCTCACCAGGGTCTGCCTTCAGTGCCGCCAGTCTCTTAGTACATTTTGATGCTAATTTGAGATTTTCCCGTGTGTGTGTGTGTGTGTGTGTGTGTGTGTGTGTGTGTGTAGTGCCACAGGATTGAACCCAAGGCTTTACATATGTTAGTCACTAAGTTACAGCCAACCCCCTTTAGTATAGTGCTCACCGTGTAGTTCAGGCTGGCCTCGAATTGATGATCTTCCTGCTTCAGTATTATAAGTGTGGGAATTGTAAGGCTGGCCCAGTATGCCCTACTGTCACAGTTTGCATAGTGAACAGCAGTGGCTCCACTGTCAGGAAGTAAGAACAGGAGGTTGCTTACCCAGTGGATCCAGTAACTATGGCGATGCTGTATGAGTAGAGGCCAGAGGTCAGCTAGGAAGTAATGGCATCCCACTAGCTCAGGGCTCATTGGCATCATCTCAGGTGCTACCAACTAATACCTACTGCTGAGCTCTAGGATCATGTCCTGGGAGGCTGGGGTTTAGGAATGGTCCCAGCTGGTTTCGACAGTTGGGAAGTACTATGTGGGTTGGGCTGTCCCCCTGCTTCCCATGAACTTGAGGGCAAACTCAAGGGAGAGATTTTTGGGCTTAAGTTCACCAAGAGGGGCTCCATGTCTCAGTGATGGGTGGAAATCCCACATAAGGAACTGTCCCCTATCTTCTTCCCTCTTATCTCAGTCCAGGGTGTGGGGGTTACAGTGTGACATGGCTCTGGGCCAGGAGGTAGAGAATAGGGAGTGCCACTTCATTGTTTCACTTTTTAAAAGGCTGCAGGTTCATATTTGTGTGTTGTATGTACTTGTTTGTGTGAGTGGAGGATGTCTTCCTTGACACTCTGTTTTATTTTTGAGACAGGGTCAGTCACTGACCTGGGAGCGCACCAATTGACTAGGCTGGCTGGTGAATGAGGGACTAGAGACAAGTGTAACCACCCTGGCTTTTACATGGTGCTGGGGATCCAAATTCAGATCCTTATGCTTTTGTGTCAGGTACTTCGCCAACTGAATGACCCCCACCCTGACTGGAAATGTGTGTGTGTGTGTGTGTGTGTGTGTGTGTGTGTGTGTGTGTGTGTTCACTTCATATGTATATGCATCTGTGCACAAAGGCCAGAGATTGGTCATCTAATGTCCTCTTCTGTTGCTCTCCACCTTATTTTCTTACTTCCCACTGAAGCTGGGGCTTACCTGATTTGTCTCTGGAATCCTCCTGTTTCTGCCTCCCAGTGCTGGGATTATAGATATGCATTACCATGCCCAGCTAAAAAGCTGCTGGGAATCCAAACTCAGAGCCTCATGTTTACACAGTAAACACTTTACCCACTGAGCCACTTCTCAGTCCCTCTCAGCCCCAGAACTTCCATTTTTAACAAGAATTGAGTGGCTCAATTTGGGAAGTGGTGAGTAAAACAAATGAGTTGGGCATGGCAACTGCCATCTGGGGCCTTCTTGAGAGCCAGTCCTGAGTTTCCCCCAAAATGACAATTGTAGAGATGCTTCAAAAGTAAGTAAAGGACATCTGCTTGGCCTTGGGGTATACTGAGATTCAAATGTCATTTCTCTTATTAATTATATCAATGATGGGCAAATATTATCATAAGCCTCCTGACAGAGCATCTGGGTCAGGGCTACCTGAATATAGTGCTACATAAACAGGATTCAGAGGACGTGAAGCAAAAACCCTGGAGACCTTGTACTCACGACTCAACATTTCATGTGACTGTGACCGTCCTGCCCTTCTAGGATCTGACTGATGAGATGTGCCCCCATCAAGACACTAGGCGAAGACATGTTTAACGTGGGATGAGATGCTGCATTGGCACCAAAGGGCTGGCCGAAATGGGAGCCTGGCTGAACCCTAGGAAGTTGGTGGTAGCAAGGAGGAGAAGCCAGGGCAGGGCTGAGCCAAAGCAGCCGTGGAGTATGTGAATGGCCCCTGGAGTCCTATCCGCCCTGCTCATCATGATCCAGAGGCTGTGGGCCAGCCGTCTTCTACGGCATCGGAAAGCCCAGCTCCTGCTGGTCAACTTGCTGACCTTTGGCCTGGAGGTGTGCCTGGCTGCTGGAATTACCTATGTGCCACCCCTTCTGCTGGAAGTAGGAGTAGAGGAGAAGTTCATGACTATGGTGTTGGGTGAGTCACTCCACCGTCCTTTCCTCCTCTTCTTCCTCTTCCTTCTCCTCCTCTAGTGTGTACATCTGGGCTGTAGGCAGCAGTTCTCTTGCCCAGGGAGTGGCTCCAAGGGAGGCAGGGCCTGGTGAGAGGCATTACCTGTTTTCATTTGCACCTCAAAGTCCTTGGGGGTGGCAATCCACTTTACACACAAGAGAAGGGAAGCTTTGGAAAGGCTAGGTTTGTCTTATTTAACCCAGCTAGTATGTCTGCTCATAAGTAGAATTGGGGCTTCCCTCTGGTTTCCCAGTCAGTTTTCTTTCCTGGGCACAGGACCGGTGGTGTGGGCTTCGGATGCTATGAACAAACTCAGCAAGAGCCACAGAAGGAGAAGTGGCTACTCTGTGATTTCCCCTCCTCAAGAAGAGGAAGCCTTGTGAGGATGCAGGCTCTGGCATCCTGCTGTTTGTTTAAACTCTGCTTCTAACCCACAGCAGACCTGAGTCTTTGCATAACTATTGCTTCTCGGGTGCAGCATGGATACTACCACTTTCTTGTCTGAAAACAAGGTGTTTATAACAGCCACACTGAGAGGACCAGAGTCTCCCTGTATGCAGAGTATGGGGGTTTTGCCTCAGTGTGACACATTGCTTCCTTCTTTTCAAAGAGTTAGCTACTTTTTTCCCTTATTACCCTTTTGTCTGGGCCACTAATTTGTGTTGTTTGTCCTTGCAGGCATTGGCCCAGTACTGGGTCTGGTTTCTGTTCCACTCCTAGGCTCAGCCAGTGACCAGTGGCGTGGGCGCTATGGCCGCAGGAGGCCCTTCATCTGGGCTCTGTCCCTGGGTGTCCTGCTAAGCCTCTTTCTCATCCCGAGAGCTGGCTGGCTGGCAGGGCTGCTGTGCCCAGATACCAGGCCCCTGGAGTTGGCCCTGCTGATTTTGGGAGTGGGGTTGCTGGACTTTTGTGGCCAGGTGTGCTTCACCCCACTGGAGGCCTTACTCTCCGACCTCTTCCGGGATCCAGACCACTGCCGCCAAGCCTTCTCTGTGTATGCCTTCATGATCAGCCTTGGGGGCTGCCTGGGCTACCTCTTGCCTGCCATTGATTGGGACACCAGCGCCCTGGCCCCATACCTGGGCACTCAGGAAGAATGCCTCTTTGGCCTCCTTAGTCTCATCTTTCTCACCTGCATGGCAGGCACTCTGTTTGTGGCCGAGGAGGCAGTTTTGGGCCCACCTGAACCAGCAGAAGGGTTGTTGGTGCCCTCCATGTCACGTCGCTGCTGCCCATGCCATGTTGTCCTGGCTTTTCGGAATCTGGGCACCCTATTTCCCCGTCTACACCAGCTATGCTGCCGCATGCCTCGCACCCTGCGCCAGCTCTTTGTGGCTGAGCTGTGCAGCTGGATGGCCCTCATGACCTTCACACTGTTCTACACAGACTTTGTGGGAGAGGGGCTATACCAGGGTGTACCCAGAGCTGAACCAGGAACTGAGGCCCGGAGACACTATGATGAAGGTAAGCCTTTAGCACCCGTGGAAGCTGCTTGGTGGCTGCCCGGCAGAAGATGCTCACAGCTTGGCCTCAGCTCCCTGTTAGTCAAGGAAAAAGGATCCATTTATGTGCAGCAGCTCATGGATGCAGCTGCTATCCTTGTATCTCAGTAGGACTTCTAGTTCTGTGTGGCTCCAGTTCCATGGGGCCTTGTACTCCCTGCTTACTTTCCAAGTAACTCCCCATGCCTTCTAGTTCAGGCATTGCACAAAGCTGTCTTAGAGCCTGTGTGGGGCCATCTTGTGAACCTCACCCCTTCCTCCCTTACATACCCTGTATAGGAACATCCTTAGAACATCTTCCTCTGCCATTGGTCAACAGCCCTGGCCATGCTCACTGATCACAATCTAGATCCTGTGGTTGTGGGCAGATCAGGAGGGCCCTGGGGAGCAAGTTCCCATGGCCACTAGTCTCTGACTCTCCCAGATTGAAGGGTCCTTACCAGCTTCTTCCTTACCCCCAGGCATCCGAATGGGCAGTCTGGGCCTCTTCCTGCAGTGTGCCATCTCCCTGTTCTTCTCCCTGGTCATGGACAGGCTGGTACAGAAGTTTGGCACACGGTCAGTCTATCTGGCCAGTGTGATGACCTTTCCTGTGGCTGCTGCTGCCACATGCCTGTCCCACAGCGTGGTCGTAGTGACAGCCTCAGCTGCTCTCACTGGGTTCACCTTCTCGGCCTTGCAGATCCTGCCTTACACGCTCGCCTCCCTCTACCATCGTGAGAAGCAGGTACTCCCTTTACATGGTGGGGGCGGGCTGAGAATGTGGTGTCTGACAAGAGATGTTGGAAGAGGCTTGGCTTTCTCTGACCAGAGAGAATAGCTGGGGCCAGAGGTTCAGCCGCTGAAGAAGTGTAGATTAGATTCTAGGAATGACTTCCTGGCTTTAGAACTAGAAAGCACTTGAGTGGACGATTGCAGGAAGTGCAAAGTCCCTCACTAGGAATCTTAGAGAATAAGCCTACCTAGAAGTCCTTTATTCTGGTCCTTATTATTGTATCCGCAGGTAGAGTGTGGGTTCCTAGTATGTAGCAGATGGCAGTGGGAATAGCCTGGCCTTAGCTATTCTTTTAAGAGCGACAATATGATCAATCTGTATCCTGCTTGCTTCAAGATGGAGAAAGCTTCCTCCTGCCCCTCTTTTACATTTACCGTCTAATCTAATCTGTGTCTCTCTCTGGCCCCCACCTACCCACTCCTGCCTCTCCCTGCTTTCCTCCTTTGCTTCTGTCCCCAATCCCCTCACTGCATATCTGAGCCTGATGTACTGACTTTGTTTGCCTGAGCAATGAACTGGGAGCCTGACACCTTCTCAGCCCACACTAAGAGCCCCTGCTGAAAACCCTCTTTCTTGGGAGGCTTCCTGACCCAAACAGCATCCTCACTTTGTCTCCTGCACCGTCCTCATTGAGCTTAAGGACCTGGATTCAGTACTCCACCCAAAGAAGCACAAGTTGCTGTAACTTAGGGGAGAGACTACAGGCCTTCCCTTCTAGGGTTTTTAAGTTTGGGAAGACCTGGCCCTGGCCGCAGCCAATAGGCTGGTTTGCTTAGCAGTAATTTGCAGGGCTGTGGTGGGGTGGGCTTATAATGGAAACCTGGTCCCTTTTGTTGTCTCTCATGGAACTCTGGGCTGGGGCTTTAATAGGTGCTGTCCGAAGATGAGGGTTGAGCACCTGTGGGTACGCCAGGTACTTTCTTCTATGTACTCAGGAGCATGTCTGTCCCCAGGGACCTCTCCAGTATCCACTCTTATTAGTCTTTCCTTGAGTAGCAAGCAGGAAAAAGGGTCTATAGAGGCATACTGTCCAACTCTCCATTGCCATCTACTCAGCTATGGGATGAGTTGATGAGTTGTGGGTTTCTCTGCTAGGCACTGCCTGGCACAAGAACCAGTGAGGGGTCAGACCTTGTCTCATTCTTCAGTAGGAGGCTGCAGATCATTGGGGCTTAGGATTGTGGGGGCCAGCGGTCAGGCGGACATGTGCCCTCTAAACAGGAAGAAACTAAAAAGCTTCTGATTCAGGCAGCTAGGCTGTAGAGATCACAAAAAGGGCCTCCCGTTGCGTCTCCTTTCTGCAGGCCTAATTTCTGGGTTCTCCCTGGCCAAAGGCCAAGACAGTGACCTCACCTTGGGCAGTATGTCTAGCCAGGCCCTGAACTCTAGAGGGGCAGGACGGTGAAGACTTTCCTGTGGTCCAGTGGAAGGAAGGGTATCCAGGGGTTTGAGGTAGCCTGTGTGGGACTTGGGACTTGACAAGTGTCTCCTTTGGGTTTGATTCCTCTGTTCTTCTGTGTCTTGCTTCTGTCTGTCCCATTCTTCCTATCTTTTCTAGAGGGTTCCATGCTTTTCTCTACCTGTGGATCTGAGCTGGTTGACTTCTTACCTATTATAAGAAAAGCTAGAAAAGACTTCAGGCTTCAAATTTGCTCCTTTTCCCCCACTCTAAGTTAAGGGTCTGCCTAGAGCCACATCAAGTACCATCTCCCAAGTTTTCAGATTTTTTTTTTTTTTTTTTTTTTTTTTTTTTTTTTTTGCCTGAAAGCTACTTGTCTGGTTTCTTACTGTTAGGACCAAATAATGATGATGATGCACACAGCAGATTTTATATGAAAGAGGTTTATTAGATGGAGATGGAGAGAGAGGGAGAAGGAGAGAATGAGACATGATAGGAGGATGAGGGGGGCACCCCGACGGAGAAAGGGGAGAGGGAAAGAGCCAAGAAAGGGACAAAGTGGCACATTGATCCTTTTAAGGAGCAAGGTAACCACACCTGTCAGGTGTGGCTACCTGGCCGGTGACACATGACGACATCATAGGTTGCTAGGCAACCCAGAAGCAGGCTGCCAAAATACTAACAGTCCTCCCTTTTTCTATAATTAAAAAATGAGAAACTTGGGTTGCTTTTCATGTAAGTTAAGTTAAAGTATATAAATTTAGGTTCACTGGAAGCAGCTCTTGGTTGCTATGCAAGGGATTAAGAGAAAGAGAAAATAATAGCAATAAAATGTCCAGATTACATGGTCAAGAGGAGGAGGGGAAGCCCCTGCCCTGGAAAGTTTAGGGCAGAGTGTTGCCAGCCATGCAAGGCAGCAGGTAGGGACTGAAGAATGCTGGGAGAACCTTCAGCTACTTGTCCTTGTCCTGAAGAACTCCGCTTACAGCCCCTGGATTAGAGGCAGTGAGGACCTGTTCTCATATCCAGGAATCCCTGCACCTGGATACATACCTATCTTTGTTTCCTTTTTGCTCCCACATTCAGGTGTTCCTGCCCAAATACCGAGGGGACACTGGTAGCAGTGAGGACAGCCAGACAGCCAGCTTCTTGCCAGGTCCTAAGCCAGGAGCTCCCTTCCCTAATGGACATGTGGGCCCTGGCAGCAACAGCATCCTGGTGCCTCCACCTGCTCTCTGTGGGGCCTCTGCCTGTGACGTCTCCATGCGAGTGGTGGTGGGTGAGACACCTGAGGCCAAGGTTGTTACTGGACGGGGCATTTGCCTGGACCTTGCCATTCTGGATAGTGCCTTCCTGCTGTCCCAGGTGGCTCCGTCCCTGTTCATGGGCTCCATTGTCCAGCTGAGCCACTCTGTCACTGCCTATATGGTATCAGCTGCAGGCTTGGGTCTGGTCGCCATTTACTTTGCTACACAGGTAGTGTTTGACAAGAATGACTTGGCCAAATATTCTGTGTAGAGTGCTGTAGGGCATTGAAGAGAGGGGTCTGCCTCACAGGGTCTCAGCCCTTAAAGGGCTGCAGAGCTGGACTCCCCAGGTCTGTTGTTGCCTAAGCGGTGTAGCTCTCTGCTGCCATCCTGAGGCAGTGAGCATAGATAGGAGCTGGGGCTTCCAGCTCTGGCTTCAGAGTCTGGCTGGCCCACTGGCAGCTTCCCACGAGGGTGTTCTTCTGAAGTTCTGCAGAAATGCAAATGCAACCCTGTACAGGCGCTTTACCAAAACTCCAAGTTAACAGCTAATCTTCCTGGTTAAGGAAGGATTTGGGGACCTGAGCGAATCTCCCTCCAAAGCCGCTCTTGCTCTTGCACTGGAGTTTCTTCTAGGAAACTCTCCTCCACAGGGTTCGACAGGACGGAAGTTGGAAGGAGAAGCCCTAGTAGACAAGATGAAACCACGTGGTCCACAGCACTGCCTTTTTGCTGAACCCTCCCCCCCAACTGTTTTAGGAAATTGCTCTGCTTATTGGCCCTTGTGTTTGCCATCATGGAGATACAGGCCTTTAAATATTTAATTTATTTGACAAATGAGAAGAAAATTCATTCCCAGCATTTTTATGTTGTGCCTAAGAGTTGAGTAGGTTGGGATCCCAAGAACTGATTCCCCTAAAATAGCTGGCCATTGTGCTAGATATTTCCAGATTCCTCTTCTAGGGTGATAGATATCATCCCCCAAACTGCTCAGCACAGTACTTTGGGTAATCTATGCATTCTAGTTGAGAGCCATGAGATGTCCTAATTCTAGGCTGGTCATTGAGGGAAATGGCATGGGTCTCAAGGTCTCCACAGCATACCAAATTCCAATTTTCACTTGACCCAGCTTGGCTCCCTTACTCCCCACTCCCCACTATGGGACTGACTTCTGTAAAGAGATTGGCCTTCCAACTCTATCCACTGGCTCCATGACCTCTATGGGGCTTTTTGGCCGCCAAGCACAAGTGTGGTTCCTTAGGCCTCTGCCCACCTCAGCCTCTGGGACATATCTGTCACAGCCTGGGGAATCTCATACAAACTCAGGAGTACTCCCTGACAGAGCCACAGAGCTCTTGTCTGGGGGGATTTCAGTGCTGGTTGCAATAATGTCATGTCTTATTTATTTAGCAGAGTAAATATTTTATACTGTACAGGATAAATCAGAGTATAATATTTATGGTGGTGAAATTAAAGCTTACTATACGTTTACATGGTGTGTGTTTGTCTTTTCTGAGTGGGACGGAGGCACTTCTAAAATCTGCCTCACTCAGTTCCTGGGGACGCGTAGCTTTGGCAGCATCAGTTCCCACCTGCGGCCAGTAGATGGAGCCTTGGACCATCATCCAGGTACAGGCTTATGGGACTGAGGGTAGAAGGACGGGAAGATTCTTAAGCGAATCAAGGCACAGTTTTCGTTTTCAAAAGGGGCCACAGAAGATGGAGCATTCACAGCAAGGCCACGAGGAGGAGGAGTATAGCTGGCACATGGAGGCAGTGACAACATCCTTTCACGTACCCTTCGCTCCAGCCTCTGGTCAAGCTCAGTCCTTGCCATCTCCCTGAGCTCTCCAACCCTGACTGGCCTTCTTGCCACTGACATTCTAGAGTGGTCTCTACAGTTAATACCCAGGGAAGGGCTCATTTTACTTTTGAAAGTGTTTTCCATGGGTCTGGAGAATATGACTCAGTGGTTAAGAACACATATTGTTCTTGCAGAGAACCCAGGTTCTTCAATTCCCAGCACCTGTATCAGGCAGCTCAGAACCACCTATAACTCCAGTCCCAGGGGATGATCTAGTTTCCTCATACAGACACACACATAAATAATAGTAAAATATTATTTAAAAGGTTCTCCATATTATCTACCTTTATTGTGAAAATTGTCCCACAGCACCGCACCTCCAGTAGTATGGAACAACCGGAGCCCAGCTTCACAACTCAAACCTGCAATTTGTTTTCAGCTCCTTTCCAGGGGTTATTTTTAAATTACGTGCCAGGCTATTTTATTTCAGTTGTAAAACTTTGGTATGTAGCTCTAAGAAAAGGAGTCAAGCTGGCAATATTGCTTACTGGCTTAGATCACTTGCTGCTCTTACAAAGAATCAGGGGTTCTGTTTCCAACTCCCACAAGCTCCTGTAACTCCAGATCTACGGGGTTGAACACTCTCTTCCTGCCTCTGCAGGCACCCAAATGCACACATGTACACATACAATCTAAAAATAGACTACTTGACCATAATACCATGTTATCTAGTGAAACATAGAATAATTTTGAATTATTCCAACCATGTACAGCTTTCCCCAGCTGCCAAAGGAGAGTTTTTCTTTCTGTTGTTTGGTGGGGTGGTTTGAATAAGACTGGCCCTTATGGCTTGTATATTTGGATGGTTGGCCGTCGTGGAATAGCACTACTTGAGAGGGATTAGGAGGTATGGCCTTGGAGGAAATATGTCATTGGGGACAGAGCATGGGGCTGGATGGGAGGGGTTGTCTCTTAGAGGTTTCAAAAGCTCAAGCCAGGCCCAGTGTTGCTGTATTCTTGCTGCCTGCGGATCCAGATATAGAACTCTCAGTTACCTCTCTAGCATCACGTCTGCCTGCATGCCACCATGATGATAATGGACTAAATCTCTGAGCCTGTAAGGAAGCCACAATTAAATGATTTCCTTTATAAGAATTGCTGTGATCATGGTGTCTCTTTATAGTAATAGAACACTGACCAAGACAATTGGTTTGAATCAGGCTCCAGCTTATATACATTACTTTGTCATCTTGTTTCCCCTCTTTTTATTACTTATAGACTGCCATTTACTTAAGAGCAGTGAACTTACCTGCAGTATTCCCACATTCCACATTGGGCTGGCTGTTTCCTCAGTAGTACTTAAAAGATGGTCCTCCTTTTTTCTTTTTGTAGGACTGGGAATTGAACCCAGGGTGTTTGGTATTCTGGGTGAGTGCTTTATCACTGTCCTGTACTCCCAGCTGTAAGATGCTCCTTCCCCCACCCCTGAAAGCTGCTAATAAGATAGAGGCGTGATTAGATTCAGGCTTAATTTTGGTGAGATTGTATCACAGGTGGTCTTTTCTGTAGCATCCTCCATAGGTGTATCATTGTTTTTTTGATCTTAATATTGATAATGGATTCAGGAGGTGTCAGCTGATCTATACGTCAGAGTGTCACACTTAGATCTTCCATCTAAGCCATTGGTGATCATTGTCTAGGTCTCATTTCATTTTAGATGTAAAAATTCAGCGTTTCTCTGTGTATCTCTCTGTCTTTATCTCTTTCTGTCTTTCACACTTTTTTACTTCTTCTCCGTGTGTGTGTGTGTGTGTGTGTGTGTGTGTGTGTGCGCACATGTGCACCTGCACCTGCCTCCTGAGGGTTAAAGTGTGGGGTTAAAGGCATGCACCACCACTTGGCTCAAATGAGATCTTTCACTGAACCTGAATCTTACCATTTTGCCTAATCTGGCTGGTCACTGAGCTGGTATCTGTCTCTCTCCACTTCCCAATGTTAGACTCACAGACATAGGCAGCCATGGCTGGCTTTTTACATGGGTGCCAAGGATTTGAACTCAGGACCTCATGCTTGCAAAACAAGTGTTCTTAGCTACTGAGCCATCTCCTCAGCTCTGGAGAAAATGTATATATTTTCTTTTTTCATGTTAGGGTCTAAGTAAATCTCATACTTTGCAATAGGTTCTGTCTCTGAAATCTCATTATCCATAGTTACTGCTTCTGTTTTGCTTTGTTTGTTTTTTTTCTTTGAAATTTGTTAAATAAACTGGGAGAGTTATGTTGGTGACATCTGCATTCCCACAGTGATTCATATTTTCTTTTTTTTTTTTTTTTTTGAGACAGTCTCATGTAGCTCAAGCTGACCCCACACTCAGACTTTGAATTTTTTTACATTTATTCATTTTGTGTACATAGGGGAGGTATACTCTAGGACAGTCAGTGGGGATTGACTCTGTACTCCTTTCGTATGAGTCCTAGAAATTGAACTCAGATCATCAGGCTTTGCTGCTGGCACCCTCACTGACTAAGCCATTCCACCAGCCCAACCATAAACTTTCTGATCCTTTTGATCTTCTTCCTTCCATCTCTTGAGTGCTAGAATTACCATGGCTGCGCATGCAGTATGGTGGCTTTGTATGTGCTGGGCAAACACACTAGCAGCTCAGCTACATTTCTAGCCCTTATGTATTTTTTCTTCTTTAATTTATTTTTTTATTAATAAGTTTATTCTCTTTGTATCCCATCTGTAGCTCCCTCCCTCCTCCCTTCCCAAGCTCACCCTTCCTCCCTTTTCTCCACCCATGCCCCTCACCAGTCCACTGATAGGGGAGGTCCTCCTCCTCTTCCTTCTGATCCTAGTCTATCAGGTCTCATCAGGAGTGGCTGCATTTTCTTCCTCTGTGGCCTGGTAAGGCTGCTCCCTACCTCAAGAGGAGGTGATCAAAGAGCAGGCCAGTCAGTTCATGTCAAAGACAGTCCCTGTTCCCATTACAAAGGAACCACTTGGACACTGAGCTGGCATGGGCTACATCTGTGCAGGGGTTCTAGGTTATCTCCATGAATGGTCCTTGTTTGGAGTATCAGTCTCAAAAAAACCCCTGTGCCCAGATTTTTTGGTTCTGTTGCTCTCCTTGTAGAGTTCCTGTCCTCTCCAGGTCTTACTATTTCCCACTTCTTTCATAAGATTCCCTGTACTCTGCACTCTGTTTGGCTATAAGTCTCAGCATATACTTTGATACCCTGCAGGGTAGAGTCTTTCAGAGGCCCTCTGTGGTAGGCTTCTGCCTTACGTATTCTTAATTATCTTTGTGCTGTCTGAAAACTGGTGGTTAAAGTCAGACTAGTCAAGATTTGGTGTGTTTTTGTAAGAACACTGAATTGATTCCTGTGCCTCCATAAAGGAAGCATGTGCTGTCTGAGCTACAGACCCAGCTGTCTCTTGTTGGATGTTAGTAATCATGGACATCTTCACTGAGAATTACTGTAGTTTGAATGTTCTTTATCCAGCATGCTTGGGACCATAAGTGTTTCTGATTTTTTGTCTCTCCTTTTTTTCTCTTAATTTTAGATTTTAGAATATTTGGATATTTAAATGAAGCATCTTAGCAATGAGACTCAGACCTAAACACAAAATATCTTTGTTTCTTATATTCCTTATATACCTGAGGTTATCGCATATCATATTTTCATTGAAAGCCTGTGGTATCATGTTGGCATTCTGTGTCTAGGGAACTGAATTTTTTTTAGTATACCGCCCATATTTTGCCTGATGGTAAAAGGACGATCACCTGTCCTTTCTTCACACAGGTGCCTGACTCCTTCATCATCGCTATTGTTTTGTTATTTAAAGGAACAGACTCACTAGCATTCCCTGATAATGACAGCTCTTTGTTTTTCATGGCTTTAAGCCAGTTTGTTGTACTTTGGTCCTTATTAAAGTACAAGCTGTTTCCATCTAGGCTAGTAGGATCCTCTTCAGGTTCGTGTCATAGCCCTTACACATTCCCAAGCAGGTTTTGCACATTTATTTACATTTTAGCACGCACTGGCATCCACACTCATCTCACAGACCTGGGATGAAAAACTTCTTCTCATGGTGACTGTCGTTGCCACTGGAACCGTAAATAGGCATTGGGGATGTTTGCTATGACTAAATTCATCTTTGGTTTAGGGCCTTTTCAGTGGACAAAGCTGAAACTGTTTTTGTTTGCTTGAGACAGGGCCTAACTAATTATCAAAGGCTGTCTTTGAACTCTTTGACCTTCCTATTTCCAAAATTCTGAGATTACAGGCTTGGTGGCACAGGCTTTTAATACTAATACTCAGGAGGCAGAGGCAGGTGGCTCTCTTAGTGCAAGGCCAGCGTGGACTACAGAGTGAGTTCCAGGGTAGCTAAGGTTACACAGAGGTTCTGTCTCAAAACAAAGAAGATTCTTGTGTTTTGCCTGAGTATATTCATCCACTATATGCCTGCTGTGCCAGCAGAGGCCAGAAGATGGTGTCAGATCTCTTGGAACTAGTTTCAGCTAATTATGAACTGTTCTGCAGGTTCTAGGAATCATATTTAGAGGCTGCTCAACATGACCTGGAGCAATATTGCTTGACCTCAGTCTGCTCTTGCTGGAACTTGGCTTTGTGTAGATGGCCATATGTTTGTAAATGGGGTGTTGATCGGCTCAACTTCATCT